TCAGCTTTTGTGTTCATTTGCACAATTTTTGGTATAATTCGTATAGTATTCCCTCAGCGTGTTTGTTGAAATGTGAAAGCAGACCAGTCAGGAGGTTAAAATGAACTAGTCCGGAGCTTAAACCAAGATGCTGATAGGAAGAATGTGAAATCCACTCTGAAGGAAGGCTAGAATTTGGATGTACAGAACAAAGCAAGAGAAACTGACTTGGAAAATCAGTTTTAAGTATTACTGATTTAGTTGATTAATTGTACTCAGGGAGAAATGTCTAGGGTTACTTTAAAATTGGCTGCTAGAACCTTGAGTTAATCCTGAAGATAGATTTTGAAATCAACCTACATTTGTTTGCTGTCAAGAAAAGGACCGCTCTGCCATGAATGGGTTTCTGTCCCTGGGAATAGGATTTCATGCCTGGGCCAACATTTGCCACCATTATAGAAACAATAAATGATTTCAGAGTAAGTTCCTCTCCAGAGGCCTTGCTGAAGGAAATTTGTGTAAGATTAAATATCATCCTGCCTGGGATATGATCAGAGTCTATTTTTCACCCTTTCCAATGTTTTTTTCTTGTATATGCATATACACATACATACACACATTTATTTTCAAGTTTTCATTTATAAAGTGTCCTAGTTTTGTTTCCCTGACTTTTAAAAAAGCTACAGGACTTTCTTCTTATTCCTTCTATCTTTAATTGTCATTCATCCCACCTGGGTCCACTTTGCTAGCCTTTAAAGTTACTGTTTTAGATTATCTCAAGTTTGGGGTTTTGTGAATTCCTTTTTTGTGATTATTCTGATTTTTACTGCATTTGACTTTGAAGTACCGTATTTAAATGTTGAGAGTGTCATACCTTAGGACTTCAGAGGTAGTCCAAAGTAAATTATGAAGTATACTGGGAAAATCTAGCCAACCTGGTGCTTCCATTTTGCCTGTCACTTTAATCCCCCTCTCTCTACTCCTACATTTTGAGACCAACTCTTTTGAGGGGTGGGGGTGGGTGGGTGTTAGGCTGATAGAAAGGATTAGTGTAAGCTATTCTGTATATACTTTCTGATTAGTTCTTGTGGAATCAAAGGAAAAGATAAAATAATTAAATGTTTTAGATGCGTGTTCAAAAAAGGCTTAATAAACTGCTTTTGCTGAATGCATATGTCATATCATATTCTTTGTTGGTAAAATCTCACTTTTTACTTCTCCTTTGCTGTAACATCTGGTATGAAAGTCAGGAGAAAAGAAAGTAGATGTTAAGTCTGCGATATGTTTACTTCAAAACTGACAAATTGTATATACCAAAGATTCTAACAAATGTCATATAATGTAAATTGTAGTATGATTTTATTTTACGTTATGTTTTTATTTCCATTTGCCAAATCAACTCTAATATATATGGCATTACTAATAACTGCAATGGAGTGTTAACATATCCTCTTTGAAATTGATAAAAATTGGTTTCTGGATTACTTTGATTGATACTTACTCTCTTCCAGGAGATAACGTGAATACCTTACCCTTTGATATCATCCATTCATTTATCCATTAGTGTCAGGTTTCTCTCAAAATACATCCTTTATCTGACCATGCCTCTCCACTTCTGCCACTACGCCTGTAGTGGGAGCCACCGTCCTCTCTCCCCACCTGCTTCCCTTCTTCACTTCTGTTTCCTCTTTTGTTTATGCCTTACAGAATAACTGTAATTAAAAAATATATATGCCAAATTATGTTACTCTTAAATTACTCCCAAGCCCTTTTGACTTCTGTCTCACATGGAATAAAATCCAAAGTCCCTCAGAGCCTGCAAGGCACAGCATGATTTGGGTCCACTGGTATCTTGGACTTTGGTTTCTGTGTTCTCTTCTGTGTTCCTACTGCTTGAGTCACACTACTGAGGATCGTGCTGTTCCCTCTGTTGAATGCTCTTCCTACAGGTCTTTGCCTAGATGGTTCTCTTATTTCTATGCCTGATTGTAATCTTCCTAGTTTCATCTTTCCTGGCTATTCTAAAATAGTTTTCCTACCCTGTTGCATCATTCTATGTGGAATAAAGGACAGGCCCTTAAAAATGAAATAAAACTAGCTTTTATGAGAAAGTTACTATGTTATTCTTTCCTTTCCTCTTTTTCTTTCTTTCCTCCTCCCTCCTTTTCCTTTCCTTTCCTTTCCTTTCTTTTCCTTTTCCTTCCTGTCCCTTCCCTTCCCTTCCTTTTCCTTTCCTTCCCTTCCTTTTCTTTCCCTGACCCTGACCCTGACCCTGTCCCTTTTGCTTTTGCGTTTGCGTTTGCTTTTGCTTTTCTCCTGCCCTGGATCAGATAATTTTTTGTTTCATCGTAGTACCCATTCCCAGACTGGTGCTGCATTTGGAGAGCAGACTATTAACACTCTTACCTTTCTTCTTTTGCTTAAGTCATGTAAGAATAATTAGTATTTTCACTGATGTGTAATTTCTGTGTTGAAGCACACAAAACAAAAATGAAATTCTACATATTCATGTTTTCTCCTCTCTTTCTCTGACTGATACACACACATTGAGTGTGGGAAAATCTTGTATTAATGAGTGCATTTCTGTTTTCCTTTGAGGCATTTCATATATTTCGTTTTGCTTTCAAACAGTAAAGCCTCTTAAACAATATTAGCATATTTTTTATTCTGTACAGCTAATTTCAGTTTTGGAATTTTAGGAGTTTGTAATTGGTTTTAATGATAAATGTTATACAAAACATGTCAAAATTAGACTTTGCTTTGTATCCATTGAGTTGATTTATGTGTGTGTAATTCGATGAGAGGTAACCCTGGTTGTGTCTGGTTATCTGGTTATTTTCTCCTGAAATTTTATTGTATTGTCTAGGTTTCATGCCATTTGCCCATGTTTATCCTTTCTTAGAGTTGGAATTCAGTAGTAATGGTCCTTTAAAGAGAATTAAATGTATTCTTCTTAACTTTTGCAAAACAAACTTTAAAAATTTCATCTGTGGAGTCATAATTTGCAGACTAAAGTGCTTTCTTCCACAATTACTTTTCTATTATAAAACTCCCCCCAAAAAACCACTTCTTCCTGTTAAAGACTACTTAGGGGTTTGGTGGATAGGCATGTGAGGTTCTAGTCCCTGAAATTACATTCAGAATTACAGAATAGCTTTTATGAGATCCACCAGGGAGTACATTACTAAAGAAGATTAAGTATGTTCTAACAAAATAATAAACCTTTAAAAATATCTTTCTGTATTTCACACCTACAGAGATGAATAGTCCCAAAACATATAGCAAAACAGTAAAGCTGTCATCAGAGTGTTGTTCATTTTTAACTAAATAGCTTTTTCTCAGACCTCAAAAGGAAGAATGGTTAAATAGTTGAGTTTCTTAAAAATTTAACAGGGAACCTCAGATATAAAGCAATTATTAAATAAATTTGGTTATTAAAGATTGCAGCATATCAGTTTACCCTTTGTCTGCTGATAAACAGTAGTAACTACAGTATTTCAGTTTGAAATGAGAAGTAAAAGAAATTGTTTATTTCTTATTTATAATTGAAGAAAATACCCTTATTTGTAATGAGTGTACAAGACATGTCAAATTTGATGTCTTTCCCCAAAATTTTTGCAAAAAGATGTAGTCACCATGTATTCAAGTCTTCACAAATGTCTTCCATCATGACATTTCAGTTTACTTTGGACTACAAAGTACCACTGGGGGAAGACACATTGACCTTAAATAACCTAGTTAGTTGATAGCTGTGGAAACTCCATAGAGGTCATCCTAAGGAAACAAAATTAGCATGGGGGCGTCTGCCTGGCTCAGTCAGTAGAGCATGGGAATTGATGCTTGATCTCAGAATTGTGATTTTGAGCCCTATGTTGGGTGGAGAGATAACTTAAAAAAATAAAGAATGGGGGCGCCGGGGTAGCTCAGTTGGTTGAGTGTCCACCTTCAGCGTAGGTCATGATCTCCTGGCTTATGAGTTCAAACCTCACGTCGGGCTCTGTGCTGACAGCTCAGAGCTTGGAACCTGCTTCAGATTCTGTGTCTCCCTCTGTCTCTGCCCCTCCCCTGCACACGTTCTGGCTCTCTGTCTCTCAAAAATGAATGAACATCAAAAATTTTTTTTAAATAATAATAGTAATAAAAAGAATGAATTGTGAAGACTATTGTCTAGTGCTGCCTTCAAAAAAAGAATTAACACAAGGGTGCCTGCCTTGCTCAGTCAGTAGAGCATGTGAGTCTTGATATCAGGTTCGTGAGTTTGAGCCCTATGTTGGGTATAGAGATTACAAAACTTAAAAAAAAAAAAAAGAATTAGCACAGGTTTAGTAATTATTTGTATTGGCATGGGCTCAAAATTACTAGCGTTGGAGGTGATCAAGATTTAAAAAGCAAAAGAGTAATAATATAATAATAGATTATATAACAAAAATCATAAATTTACACCAGGATGATGACTGAAACAATTATCTTACTGTTACAAGAGTGGGTACTTGTGGCTTGAGATAAAGTTTCCAGTTTGCCATTACATACTGACTTTAATAGTGCTGTATCTCAATAAATTTAGATTGTGAGTGAAGATGATATGCTCTGGAAAACAGATCATTTACACAGTGGATACAGTGATGACAGAGACAATAATATTGAAGATGGATGTGAAGATTTTTAATAACTAAGCCCAAAGTTGAATTTAAAAACAATCTTTGTATGGGAAAGTATATATTGGGTTGTAATTTTTCAAGAATAAGTGATGTTTATTTCTTTTAAAGTAAGTGGAATTATTGCATAAGATTGGCTTTATTAAATTTCTCCTCTTATTTTATGTGCCTGGAAGCAAAAATTTAATACTGTAATTTTATAGTCAGATTTCCGACTTTTTCACATGCCCTGTTAGCCCTTCCGTAGTCAATCTGTTTCTTTATCTTAGCATTGCTTCCTTCATTTTCTTTTTTCCTTATAGGAGTTTGGTAAAGCATGACATTTTCTAAAATATTACTCTTGATAAAAGCAATATTTTTGTTTAGGTGACAAACAGCATGTTTGGTGCTTCAAGAAAGAAGTTTGTAGAGGGGGTCGACAGTGACTACCATGATGAAAACATGTACTACAGCCAGTCTTCTATGTTTCCACATCGGTCAGAAAAAGATGTAAGTTAATCAGTTATATTGTGTTTACTTAGCAGTGTATGTCTGTGTCCTTCTGGTTCCTGAAAAATAGTATATGAATTGCAAAATACCGTCTTTAATCGAGTGACTGTATTTTAGGCCCAGTGCTACACCCTGGGGATACAATGGCCTATGGGAGCTTACATTCTAATGGGAGATAAAATGTCCTATAATTCTTAAGTTGGGATATGGTAATACTGTGGTAGGAAGTACTCAAAATCCTCTGGTAAACATGGTATTCTAGATTATCAGTTTTTTTAACTTGTGAAGTAACTTGTTTTAATATTAAAATATACACATAGAGTAGAAAGCAGATTTGCACAGATTTAAAGATGTAATGGCAAGATTTAGTGAAACCTTACCTTTGCTCTTTAATCTTCAGGGTGTAATCCTAAGCTTCAGTTAGTAAGAGTATCTCCTCTGTTCATCCGTAGAGATGCTACTACAGAAAAATTTTGGAAGAACTGTATTCAAACATGGATGTTATGTTATAGAGGTGTGAATTAAGTGCTTTGGAAGGCTAGTAGTTCAGTAATCCCGTTTGGAATGAGAGGATTTCACACAGCCAAGTCATAATTAGCAAATTGATAAAATATTTTTAAATCAATTAATTGTTGTTTTCAAATTCTAGTAAGCCTCTTTAAATTATACACTATATACTACAGTAGTCAAACCATTTGCATTTTTGTATTTGTACCCACCCACCCTTTTTCTCTTTTCAACCCTTTATAAACTTGGCTATTCCTAATTTCCCTATCTATATAACAATCTATTCTAGTTAATAACCTAATGGGATTGTTAACTGATATTTAAAGCGCTGATAAAATTCTAAGATCTGTAAGAAATGCTCTCATTTTTCATTAAAGTCGACCATTAGTAAATTAATTCCTGTGTCTTACAATCAGTTTTTACCCCCTCCTATTTTGATGCAACTCCCCTTTATTTTTGTTTGAAAATTGTGTCATTTTGGCAACAGTGTGTCAGTTGTGTTATTAGGACTCTTTTCAAAATATGTGGTGACTTCATAATTAGTGTGCAGTTTAACAGCTGATAGAATAGTGTCATCTCATTAATTTTCTGTTACCTTACTGCTCTTCTAACTGTTTGCTCTTGGATATAAATTATAATTGAGTTACGTTTTACTTAAGTTTCTATGTTTACGTCTTGGTCTTGTAGTTGAAGAATTTGGAATATCTTATGGCTAATGTTGGTTGCAAAAACTATAACACTAATCCACGTGTATATTACTATGATTGTATAGGGAAAGTTAAGTCTGATGAAAAAAATGGTAGTAGAATATTACTTATTGAAGAAAAGCACTCATTCTGATTAGGAAGATATGAAGCTTTCAAACAAATCTGGAATAAAATACGTACAGAGAATGACAGAGATGTATGCCTTCTAGAGAACAGAAATGCTATATATCCGAGGTTTTTAGTCACCATTATTAAATACACTCACATATGTTGGTTACCATTCCTGTTCAGTTGTTTGTCACAAAAATAACACAATGATTTGCTTTAGAAAACTTTTTTTTTTAATTAAGAAGGTAATGAGACATAAGAAATTAGGCTCTAAAGCCTAACACTTACATGTGTTTGGATCTTGGCTTTGCCTGTTACCAAGGACTTCTCCAAGCCTCTGTTTTTTTCTCCTTTAAGCTGGGACAAATTTCTACTGTTGCTGGTACTTTTTTTAATAACAAAATAGTACCAGAGGTATTATACAGATTTTTAAAAACATGCATGAGAAGGGAGAAGAAAAATTACCCATAATTTTGCTGATCAGGAATAATTTTCTGCTAAAATTTTGATTTAATACATTAAATATTTTTACTTTAAAAATGTTATCATGTAAATCTCGAACATATTAACATATTTTCCACTAGAAAGTTTGTACCAGTTTTTACTCTGAGCAACACTTTCCATGCCCTCAAAAATACCAGCTGTTAGTTACCTCTAAGTCTTTGCAGTATGCAGAAGAAACTTACTGTCTGAAAATATATTAAGACATTGTTAAATTTACACACATAGGCATGCACACACTCAAACACACATGGTAACATGTCTTTTCCATGTAGTTACTGGCCATTTGTATTTCTTCCTTTGTGGATTACCTATTTTTGTCCCATTTTCTATTTTTCTATTGAGATGGTAAGTCTTGTTTAAATGTTAGTGTTCTCCATAAATTAAGATTAATAGACCCTTGTGCTCCATTACAAATACTTTCCCAGTTTTTTTTGCTTACAGTTTAGGGAATGGTTTTTAAATGTAAAAATATCTATCATTCTTACTGAATTTGACTCCTCAGTGTTTTATTTTTTATGCTTTTATGTTTTTGAGATCATACTTAGACTTTTTCCAGCTATTTTCTTCTGGCATTTTTGTACTTCATTATTCACATGTAACTTAGCTCCCTTAGAAATATATTTTAGTTTGAAGTGTGAATATTGGTGCCTGGATCTCCACCCGGCACTCCTCCCACCCTTTCAGGTTATCCAATGTCCAATTGTCCCAACACCATTTATAATTTAGATCACAGGTTAGAAAACTTTCCCATAAAGGACCAGATAGTAAATATTTTAGGGTTTATAGGCCAAGAGGCTAAATAAAGAATATTATGTAGGTATTTATATAACCATTTAAAAAGTAAAAAAAAAAATTTTTTTTAGTTCACACACCCTACAGATATAAGCTTTGTGCTGGATTTGGCCTGCAGGCAGGAATCTGCCCAGCCCTGAGTTAGACCATTCATCTAAGGCTAATTGAAATCCTCCCTGCATATGTATTAATGTCTGATTGGGCCTGTTTCTAAACTCTTGTTCTGTTTCTCATGCTGATTCTGTGGCAGAACTGCAACATAGTTGAATTGCTGTAGCTTTATAGACAATTTTCACATCTTAGTCAGGTAAGGTCTTTCACATCCTTCTTTATAAAATATTTTTGACTATTGCACATTTATACCTATGGTTACCTTCTTTTAGAAGTCTGGGGTCTGTCTTCTGTTGTTCTGATGCCATTTTTTAATAAGTAGGGTTTTATGGTTGCCATTTTTGTTACATTTTTCTCATTGGTTTTTACTGATAGAATAGTTTGTATTTATAACCAACTACCTTACAAAACTCTTACTAGTTTTTGTTGATTGGGAACAGGGGCTCTGCAAGTCCTACTGTATGATTTTATATCTCACTCACATGATTTACTAACCAGGTGTCCTTGGGCAAGTTAGTCTCTTTGTGTCTCAGTTTTTTCATCTATAAGATAAGAATAACAGTATATGATTCATAGGTGGTTATAAGGATTGAATGAATAAACATATGCAAAACTTTCAGAAGACCAGATAGTAAATATTAAATAAATTTTGCTACTAATATGAACAATAATAATATTATTATTCCATTTGATTGTCTTGGGTTTTTTACATAGTTATGTATATCATCTGCAAATAACAATTATTTTACTATAAAACTATTGAGGAGAAAGCTTTTAAACGTAACAAATAGATGAGATAATTTTGTAATTTTTTTCTGTCTGGGAACAGTGAGAAAATAATTTCAAATTCTTATTTATGATAAAGAAAAACTGACCAGTGATTTAGTGAATCTGTATCCATTTATTTTAAAAAGTCCTGGGGCGGCTGGATGGCTAAGTCGATCCAGTGCCGACTTCAGCTCAGGTCACGATCTCATGGTTTGTGAGTTCAAGCCTCGTGTAGGGCTCTGTGCTGATGGCTTGGAGCCTGGGGCCTGCTTCAGATTCTGTGTCTCCCTCTCTCTCTGCCCCTCCCCTGCTCATGCTCTGTCTCTCGGAAATAAATAAATGTTAAAATTTTTTTTAAAAAAAGTCCTAATGTACCCTATCCATATAGTATAAAATGTAAGTATCATATGCATGGTTGTAGAAGTATTTGGGAAGCTGTTCTTTATGTGATTGTGTACTAATTAAATTGCTAAGTAGTTCTTCAGCACTACTTATTTTCCAAGGCCTTTTATTTCAAGAGATGCTTGTGTATGGATATGTCTTTGTATAGAATGCTGAATTTGCTATTTTGATGTATAAACACCATTTTATAAATATTACAGATATGTTATTTAAGCGTTTTCACAAGATTAAGTAAATTAGAGGTAGATATGGGCTTGATTTCTATTTTATTATAATTATTTTCTTTTTTTAAAAATTATTTTCTATTTGGGGACATTATGGAAGATGAAAAACATTCATATAAGATGTCAATAGACAGCTCTTTGGGGATAATATACTCTAAACAGAGTTATTGTTGTTTAAATATATTTGTATTTGAATTGCTAGTCTATTTTCTAGTCATGTCAGTCTGTGCACTCAATTGATAATTCTTAAGCATAATCATTTTAGAAGCACAAACTCACGGGAACTCCTTTTCCCTTGCTTCAATATATGCTGTAAAGACACGAAATGTGACACCTGTTCCTTTTTAAAAAGCTCTTAAAACTGATAAGAGTAGGCCACTTTCTTATTTTGACAAACAGCAACCATTTTGAACTCATACCTAGCTTTTGTACTTGTGTTAGCCTACAGTAATTATGGCTGCTAGGATTTCTTTCAGACCAATTAATAACCAGTATTTCATTAAAACCTATTTATAAACTTGTATTATTATAAAATAAATTATTGTTGTCATCATCATTATTAGTATTAACTACATGTTGGAGTCCTGCTTGGCTGACTGTCCAGTTCATTAATTAATTACACTCACATTCCTTTCTACCTGAAGACCTTGGTGTCCTTTTTTTTGTTGTTGTTTTGTTTTGTTTGTTTTTCGGATCTTCACATGGTTCTGTCTCACTATTATCTCTCACTATATCTACTAAAATGCCTTCCCTGAGAAGAAGCCGTCTCTCTTTGCCTAAGTCGCTTTGTGTATACTATCAGTACTGCTCCTACTGTATCCTTCAAGATTCTTTCTTGCACTTTCATAATCATAGCATCTCTGTATCTGAAATACAT